ATGTCACCTTTACCCCAGTCACTGATTTCCTCCAGCCAGCAGAATGGGTATAAAGCACAAAATTGATATAGAAAATGAGGAAGGAGAATATTATTTAGATATTTATTGCATATCTGAGTTTAGTTTCTTAAGCTGAAGCCATCTGTCATCAGAGGGCCTGTCCTCACATCTTATTTGTTCCATCAAAAATTTCTGGGCAATTTACATAATTTCCCTTCATCTCAGTCTTCTAATCCATATAATAGGTATTAAAATTGTTACAGGGAACAGTACTGGAGATGAAATGTGAAATATATCTCCCAACCTGTTAGCTGTATGATTTGCCAAGTTCTTGTTTTCTAAAAATCAAAGAATAAATTCTAAGAATGAAGGAGGTTAAGAGTAGGAAGATATTTATTGATAGAAAAGCTCCTGAGGGGCAGGAGGGATTCCAAGTGGGTAGCCAGTGACCCTACTTTACAGAGGAATTTTATAGGCTGAAATCCACATGGGTACAATGTAGGGCACAGCCATGATCACCCAATAAGGTTGTGAGTGTAGTTACTTAGATAATAGTGGTCCAAGTCATGTAACAAGCATAGGTGGAAAGAACAAAGATTTTCCGAGGAAGTGGTGGGTCTAGAGGTCTCTGGTCACCCACCAGGGTGGTTGATGTCTATCTAGACTTCATTAGGTCCAGTGTTTGTTCTTTGTGGAAGTATGCAGGTCTGGGTTATCTTGTCTTTATCCTGAGGCCTGATTTCCAACTGATGTGTGTCCAGTTGCAGCTGTAGTGTTTCACCTTTGTCCTGATCCTCTCGAGCACTTAGCCCTTTCTGGCTGCCTATAATATTTCTATCTAACTCATCTGTCTATAATAAAATTACTGAGGTGAGAGCAAAGACCCTGAGCTCACTCCCTAGGACTGCACTGCAAAACACAAAACAAAACTCAGTGAGAGATAACGCAATGCATTAGTTTTGTATAACTCCCAAGCCTGTTCCACTTGCACCTATTTGAACTTATATATTTTCAGGAGGTGGGCAGGGGGCTACACTTGTGTCTTCTTAATTAAAACTTTTACAAAGTAATTTTTATATTTATTTCTTATGTGTGTGATAAATGGAATAAATATTTTTCAAAGTTGAAAGCACTTTAGAAATAAGGAATATTGTATGGCTGATAGGCTGGGACTACTGCATATGGGTGTGTTGCTCTGGAGGCCAAAAGTCACCTTATCATTAAAATGTTTCTTCGATAATCTGCAGGCTCAGTAATTCACAGGTAGGTTCCTTATTGGGTCTTTTCACTGATCTGTTCTAAGACAATAGCTGGAATTAGTTCCTGTATTGGGGAATGAAAAAAATAAATGTCTAAAGCAGGCACATATGTGTTACTATATCGGTGGACACCCGAGAGCAGTCCTGGGTTGCAGAGAACCCACCCCATCCAGCTTGCACCCTTGGCAGCGATCCATTTAGCCATGCCCCACTCCCCCTCCCCCCTCCTCTGGCCTCTTGGCTGTACCGCCACCTGGCTCCACACTACAAAGACACAGGGGACACCAGACCACCAGACCACCGTACTGGGTAAGTTGGAGGGATCATCACCTCCCATCGGAACTTGGACTCTCTTCAGGGGAAGAGCAGCTGGAACCTGCAGTAGAGCTTTGCAGAGTTCAACCTTACAGGCAGACAGGGAGCTCAACTTGGGACTTGCAGCCAGAAATCTGCCTGAATCTCATGGGTCTGTGACTGGCTTACTGAGACTCATTGACTAATATCTGCACACTGCTGCCCACGTTGTCTATTGTGACAGCAGAGACACACCCTGAAGGAGGCCCTACATTTTCATTTTTATTTTTTATTTCAAAAATTAGTATTATTGGTTTGTTTTTTCTCTTATTTTTAATTTTTTCCTACTCTTTGCAAATTTTTGTTTTTCTCCTTTTTTTCCCTTCTTTCTTTTCTCTTTCCATTCCCTCTCTCTCACACTCACTCTCTTGCTATCCCACATTGTTCTTCATCTCCCTTTTTGTTCCTGTTCTGGCCCTAATTTGGATTTCTTCTTTTTCTTTTCTTCTTTTTTTCCTTCTCTCACCCTTGTCCTCTGGCCTCACTGCTAACCTTTCCCTATCCTTCTACCTATCCCTCCCTCCCCAACTCCTTCTAACTCTCCATCCCAAAGGGTAAAGTTGCTATATTGAAGAGTTTATTCACTATAAACATATGTTGGGTTGGTCCTCAGTTTTGATTTAATTCACACAGTTAAAGGTGATAGATTAATAATTACCAAAAAATGTCATTTTCTAAGATGTATGTGATGCTATGGTGTTGCTGATTGTATGACTTGGGCTAAGGTGTTGTGATTGATCTAAACAGTTTTCCTTCCTGGTATAATGAAAATGAGACAGCCTCAGAACCATTAGAGACTCAAAACCTAAAGAACAGCTATATCTGGAAGACACCTCTGAGAAGCAACCGTTTCATAACGGTTCTAATTACAAGCAACAAAGATACAATAAGCAATTTTGAAGTATCAACCCAGGAAATAAACCAAGGGCAGTACCAAAAACAAAAATGAGAAGACATTCAAGCAAGGCACAAACTCAGACTTCCACCCCACCAAGGGTAAACTTTGAGGGAAATGAGATGGAAAAGTCCGATAATCAACCACCTGGACACCCTGAACTGATAGCACAGGAAGTAACAAAACAGATGAATGAGGCTCTAGAAAACTTCAAAACATAAATAATCTCCCAGATAACTACAGAGATGGTGAGCAGAGTGAAAGATATGATTAGAGGCTCTAGAAGAGAAACAGATAAAAAAATAGATGAGCTCAGAAACATGCTGGAAGCCATGAATGTCCAGCATAAGAAAGAAATGGAAACCATGATTGCCCAACATAAGAAAGAAATAGAATCCATGAAACAGATTCAAACAGATATTCAGGAGATTAAAAACTCCAGTGAAAGTATCCACAGCAGATTAAAGGAATCTGAAGATAGAGTATCAGATATAGAAGACAGGATTGTGGTGAAGGACCATGAAAACAGAGATTTCTTAAAAATAGTAAGAGGCCACGAGAAATCAATCCAGCAGCTGCTAGACGATGCAAAGAAGAATAACAGGAGAAAAAAACCAGGAGAAAGTACAGGAGAAAAAAACAGGAGAAAGTACAATTGACATAAAAAACTGTTCACAGAAGTAATAATGGAAAACTTCCCAGAAAGAGGTGGAGAATTGGACATACAGATAAGTGAGGCATATAGAACTCCAACTAGCCATGATCAAAAAAAAAAATCTATATCTAGACATATAATAGTCAAGATCCCAGAAACCCAACAGAAGAACAAAATCCTACAAGCAGAGAAAAGAAACAAATCACCTACAAATGAAAGCCCATTAGAATCACAGCAGACTTCTCAGCACAAACCCTCAAGTCAAGGAGAACCTGGAGTGAAGTATTTCAAGCCCTAAAAGAAAATAACTTCCAACCTAGACTGTTATATCCTGCAAAATTATCTTTCAAAATTGATGGGGAAATTAGATACTTCCACAACAAAGAACACCTGAGAAATTTCATGAACACCAAACCAGCACTACAAGCAACTTTAAACAATATCCTACAAAAGAACAATGAAGGTCACTGCCAAGGGAGCCGGTAGATCACCAAACACTGACAAATGACAAAGTTAAAACTGAAAGGAGTTAATTCACGTGCGTGGACTCCACCCTCTAGTAGAGTGAAGCGCTGAGTCTGGGAATAGCACAGCTTTTATAGGTTGTTATTTAAAGAAGTTCAAAGGGGGGGTCAACATGGTGCAAAATATTTTTCACAACTCAGCTATCTTGCTGTCTTGTCAGGTTAGGACATTTTGTGGTTAGAGGGAGGCACCAGGCACCAACCTTTTCTGAGAAGTGATGAGGTTTACAGAAGCAGAACGAGCAGTTACAAAAACATCTTTAGGAGAATTTTCATACTTTATAAGGGGAGGGGTATGAGGGGAGTTCATCTACAGGCCAAGATGGCCTTTCTTGGTTCATCTTGGTCTCACAGTCACAACTCCATGAGGCCCAACAGAGGAAAGCCACCAGGCAAGGTAAGAAACTAAAGAGAAAGGGGTAAAAATAAATAAAAGAGCCAACAAAAGTAAAACATCATGAGAAGGATGAATCAATATCTATCACTTATAACCATCAATGTTAACGGCCTCAATTCACCAAATCAAAAGAAAAAGACTGGCAGAATGGATTAAGAAGTAAAATCCAAGTACGTGTTACTAATTTTTCTAACAGTATAAACTTATATATGGATCATCACAGCCTGGCATGCTGGAATCTTCCACTCCAGGTTTACCCTGGACAAGATGGCTCTTCTGAGAAATGAGAGTAAACAAAATATCCAGTGGCAATGCAAATTTCAAAAGTCCCTATGAAAATGTGACTTGTGAAGGAATGCAAACTAGGATCATTCAGTCACCAAATGTATATTGGTGCCTGTGGCATGCCTCGTGCACCTCTCGTACCGAGAGATAACAGTAAAGAAAACAACCCAGTGTCAGAGCTTCTGGAGTAACAGACAAATAAAATACATCATATCAAACATGATGATAAGGAGCTGTAACAGGTAAAGGATGGAACTAAAGTGGGTTCCATTGGACAAGGGGCAGCAAGGGTATCTTGGAGGAGGTTGTGAAGAAAGGAGTAAGCCACGTGCAGATCAGTAAAGGAAGTGTAAGTGGATTCGCATCTTCTCCTGCTCCAGAAGCCTCTGGTACAAAGATTAAGAATAAACGATCATGTCGTAATAGACATGCTTGACTTTATCCTGTATGCAAATCAATATGTAGGGTTATTTATATGCAGAGGCCTTAGAAAATGCCAAGAAAAGCAAGAGTCCTTGGCAGCCTTGGACTGCTGAGCAGGCATATTTCAGCTAAGATAGGAAGGAAGACATTTAGGTGGAAGTGAGCTGCCACTTCTCTCTTGGCTCGTGACCAGCTCTTACTCATTATATAAACCCTGGGTGCAGTGACAAACCCAGGCAGAGCAGACTCCACTCCACAGAGACAAGGAACAAGTAAGTGATATTGTTGGACAATACATTGATAAGAAGTGACATATTCTTCATTCTTGAGGGTTTTATTTTTATTGCTGTCATATCCTGCTTGTGATCATCTTGTGACCTATTTTCACCATTTATTGTTTTGTCTCACCTGGAGCCTCCCTGTGTTCAGGACCATGTGGAAATTGGATGGTAATTTCTAAGAGAAACATAGGCCTGGGAGATTTCAAACAATTCCTTCGAGTTGATTTTAACAGGGAAAGTATAGTCATTATTGGAGGAAAAGATTCTGTCCTACCTAGAGTTTGTGACTCTTCCACAATTCTCTCCAGTGGGTTTTCAATGGGGGAAAGCAGTAGAGAATATTATTTCATGGTTCACTGCATTCCTTTTTTATTTTTAAGTTCAGGGATTTTATTTGTAATAAGTGTTATTATTTTAAGACCCATTTTGTTGAAGTGTCTCCATGTTTTGCCAAGAAGTATATTCAGTCTTTATTTGGTTTCAGAGATGGTGTAAGAGATTTATTTCCCTTAGGCCCAAAACTTGAACTCACAGCTCCCAAAGAGTATTTCAGTTATTCCTCTTACACCAGCTCTGATGTGAGGCAAGCATTGAAAATGGTATTTACTTGGTACTTCATAGAAAAATACAGGCTCCAGCTTGCTTATTCAAAATTAAGCATTCACTGTTTGATTGAGATCAATAACTTAGTTAAAAAATTCTTCCACTTTTCTCTTGCTCTACAGTTTAGTTCCAACCTGGACTCTTTTCCAGAACTAAATCAGAAATGCCCAGAGACACTGGGAAGTGGGGGAGTCATCATTCTTTACCATCAGCTATCAGCTAAGAAATTGCTACTCTGTGTCAATATGTGCAAGAAGTTCTCTTATGGGCAACAACACCTTGCTATTTTGCATTACAAAATATCAGCATCTATGCAAATTGCTGTAAACATTATGCTCTGTTACTACATTTCATATGGCTCTATTAAAAAATAAAAAGGCTTAATTAAACCTCTAACACAGTAATATTAACGTGTAGTAAGGAAGCACTGTTAGCAAATTCACAAGTAATTGTTCTTTTTATTCTTCATATTCATAGATTGTCACACCATTATTAAGTAGGAAAAAACTGTGTCTATAATTCCCAAAAACGTTTGAACTCTTGATGTTTTATATTTTAGACTCCAGGTAAGTGAATATTTTGAACTGAGTTATAAAACGGTTAATATTTAGTTCATTTGTAAGTTTTCTATCAAAATCATTCCAATAGGTCTATCCCCTTTTTTGGTTATCTCCTGAAATCTTTATTAAGATGTTTAACATGATACTTGAATATGAGCCTCCTTTGCCAGAAAATTCAGTTTGAATTTTTATCTTTCTGACACAGAGACTAGAATTTTAAGACTATTATTTACTGCACTCTTGCAACAATACACAAAATAGAATATTGATTTAGTAAAATTTAACATCATCTTAGTCAAAATTAAATGGCTTTATCTTGATAATTTATATTTATCAATACACATGTTAAAATTGCCTCTAGAATAGAATGCTCATTTTGTTGTTGTTGTTGTAATCAGCTAAAGAAAAATAATGACATTATATAAAGTAAAAAAGGCTACAAACCTTAGAGGAAGAACAAAAGTACTCAAGATAGAACTTTTCAAAACTGCTGTCATTTCCCATGAAAAATATTTAATTTCCAAAATGTTTGTTATTTGTTTTTGCTTTTGCTTTTATTTTTTGAGATACTGATGATTGAACCCAGAGCCTATCCACTAGCTACATCCCTGTCTATTTTTTATTTTATAACAGGATCAGTAAGTTGTCCAGGCTGGGCTCAAACTTGCTATCCTCAGCCTTCCAGAGTGCTGGAATTCCAGGAGTGTGCAGGAGTGTGCCATTGTCCCCAACTCCTAACAACTTTAACATATATTAACGTTAACACTCTGGTATTTGATGGCTACATCTATGTGAGTTTAGATGCACAAATTTCTATCCTGGGAAGATATTAGTCATCCTTTCATGTGTTCTTGAGAAATTGTATATGTTGTTATTCAAATAATTTTAAATAGGCTTTTTATTGGCATGCTGAATCAGGAAATTTACATGGTTTTCTTTGGAAAGTAAGAAAGCCAGGAATTCATTTTTAGTGTAAAAGAAATCTTTAAGCACAATCAACTTCTCTACTTCATGTATCTGTATTGTTTCAGGGAGTATATAAGGTTTTCCCTACATGGTATCCTTAACAGAATGATGGTGGACAGGTTCAGAAATGAAGCCAACAGGAAGTAAGAGATTAGCATGAAATGGACATTCTTCTAGGCTATTCAAATCATACTTAGTTAAATCATAGCCAAATAACCTGGACATTATTTCCATGGATGAGGTGCAGTTAGAGTCTAACTATGGCTATTTTGGTTCTCAGCTTTCTATCTGAAATTTAGAACTAGGTTTATTGGTAGATTCTCTTACATTTTGAATAGAAATGACCATCTTAAATATAAACAAGAACAATTTTTCCTTTTGCTTCTTCCATGTTATTTATTGTGAATGGTAAAAAGACCACCTTATCTATGAAATTGAGAAATATCTATGTTATATTTCTCAAAATTTTTCCATTAAATGTTCAGATTTAGCACATGAAGTTATTTGTAATGTAAGCTTATGATTTTAAAGTATCTATTTTACCTGCTATTATGACCCCTTTTGTTGGTAATATTATTTGTGACTTTTCATATTTTTTCTCTTATCAGTTTTCCTTGAGGTTTGCAAATTTGACCTTATTTTTATTTTATAGAAGGAGTGTTGAGTTCTAACAAACCACCCCTTTAGTGCCTTTCCTGTGTGGGAGACTTTGATCTCCTTCTCTCTGAAGGGGCGAATCCCCCCCGCCCCCATCTCCAAACTGAGGGTCTCGCTCACTGCGTTGGGTTTCTGTTACTTTTGGGTGAAACTATGTTTGTCTTGCTTTTAAATCTTTATAATTTTTATACACTAGGAGCAGGATGAGTTCATCAAATAACATGATCTCAAGGAGCTGAGAAAATTAAATTACCCAAAACTGGACAACAGCCCCCACTATAGAAAGAATCATTCCTCTCCATTCCCTTCCCTCTTGTCTTGTTTTTCTCCCTTTCTCTTCCTTCTTTTCCTTTTGAACACATATTATGTGTCAGGCAGTGTGTGGGTACCTTACAAACAACATTTTCGTTACCGGTTTCAGGTGAGGCTCTAACTTTAGAACAGGAGAATGACCCAAGGCCATAGATATGAGTGGTGGGGCGACTGTTCCACATATTCCTTCCCATCATCTCCCCTGGCCCTTGAACTTCCTCCCTACCACACCTGGTGGGGATGTGTTTTACCTTCATCCTTTTTTTATTTTGGTACTGGGGATCAAACTCAGGTCCTTGCACTTGCGGGGCAGGCAATGGAACCACTGAGCTAAATCCCTGGCCCTACCTTCATCCTTTTAGTTCATTGTCTTGGTGAAATAAATGCTTTAACAAAGAGAGATTATTGTAACAAAGGTACAAGGGGTGATATAAATATACAGTGAGTGTTAAAATTTTTTAAAAATTATTACCATAAAAGACACATTGCTATTAGTCTCCCTCAAAATACTTCCCTACTTCAAAAACACTTCTCATGGTTTTTGCCACTCTCTGAAGCAGTTCTAATGTCTTCTTTCATGAGCTTCTTTATGATGTATGATTAAAAGTATAGTGAATGCTGCTACCAGGTGCCATCCAACGGAATGGCAGGCTCATAAAACAACTCAGTGTGTCTTCATCCACTTTGTTCAGCAGATTTGGCACCATATGACTTCTGGCTCTTCCCAAAGTCCAAACGACCATAAAAGGCAAATCTTTTGACTCAATTCAGTACATTGAGGTGGTCACAACAGTGCAACTAAAGACATGAAGGAGGACTTCCAGCCCTGCTTCAGAAAGTGGCATGAATGATGGAATATGTGTGTTCAAAGCAATGGGGGAAGGAATTTTGAGGGGGATTGATTGCAATTGTGTCTTTTATTGTAATAAATTTTTGAAATTTTAAATATTTGCCATTTTTAAGGCACACCTCACCTATTGCTAAGTGCAGCAAGATGAGAAGAAATAGTCTTCTAGACAGCATCCTATACATTTTTCATTGGATTTATTGTGAACCTTCCTATCAGTTTTCATTGGTCATATAAATATTTACTTGAGATTCCTTCTGGTTAGTTTGTTTGTTTTGTGGCACTGGGTATTGAACCCATGGCCTCTACACTGAGGTACATCCCAGCCCTTTAAAAAAATATTTTTAAAATTTTAAAAGAGAATCTCACTACATTGCCCAAGCTGGGGCTTGACCTTGTGATCCTCCTGCCTCAGCCTCCTGAGCCCCTGGGATTGTGCCTGCTCTCCTGTTATTTTTTTATGCAAAAACCTTATAAAATGTAGAAAAGATCTTAAAATCCATAAATATTTCCAGCTGAGTTCATCTTTACTTATTTTTCATGTTATAAAAATGTGCAGATATAACTTGAAAATATTATTATATTTTCCACTGAGAAAAAAGTCTGGTTTCTTGATTTCTACAGTTATAAAATTTTAAACTTGAAATTAAGAAGACTTTTTGCTGAGTGGAAAATATAACTTTGCTGAGTAGAAAATATCCAACTATAACTATAACTATAGAAAATATAACTAAAATATAACAATACAAGTAACTACAGGAATGTGCTACACAAGTAATACAGCTTCACTAATGGGTTATAACTGTTGAATGTTCTAGAGGAAAAGATAAGCATTTATCAGATGTTCTTGAGCCTCTGCCATATCTTTAGATTTAAAGATATGTTTTCAGAGAAATATAGATAACCACCAGCCCATGCCAAGAAGTCTTAAATATCTTCTTTACTTGAGTGAAATACAATGTAAAATAGCATAACTTGACAAATTAAAAACAACCTCTTTGTTTCTGTGCAGAATTCAAGAGATGGACACTAATGTTTATGTGCTA